GAGGAAAGCAAGCAAGCATTTTGCCTCCTACAGACAGGATTTGAAACCATGCTCCTGAAGTAGAAAAGATCAGACATTCAGATCCCAAGTTACAAACAGCAACCATCAACTTGGAGAAGGGATGACTCTTAGAAACCACAGAGGAAAATGGTTGGGTCAGTCATGCCTTCCTCCCATTATTCCATCTTAGTTGCCACTCTCCTGTTTGTCTGCACCATTTTCATGTTTTTATCTAAAATATGGACTTTTCACCTCCGAAACTGGTCAATTCTTGGTAAAAAAATAAAAGCCAGAATCAATGAGTTAGGAGTTAACTTGGCAGAACGTGCTTTCATTAACACAAATAAGCTATTGGGTCTCCCTGGTCTTCTTGGCTCATTAAAGGGACTAAACTAAACCAAGCAAGGAGAATGAATCATGTTTGGCACTTACGGAGAGCAGGCCTCGGGTCAGGGTTAGGGTCATTAGGGGGAGACAGAGACGGGGAGCCGCAAGATGAAAGGTACATTTGCTCATAGCATCTCTGAGATTGGAACTCTAAGAGGGAAATCTCTGGATAGTCAAATAGTCTAAAATTACCCAAGAATGCTTCAAATTCTATCCATCAGTGGGATGCACTGAACTTTGAGAGGCACAAGACAAGTGTGAGAGACCAGTGAGTCTGTATCCCCTGCTCTGATAGTGCAGGGGCGGGGTCTGCAGGCGCCATGGGGATGGGCATTAATCGTTTCAGGGCATAAGGCTATCACTAACAAAGTTAGGAGATGTCTTTCACTCCCCCAAACCCAGACTGTTCATATTTTACAAGGAGGATGAGCAACAATTATGTCCAATTTCATCTGACTAAAGGAGACTAGTGAAAGATTTCTTTTTTAAATTTTCTGATTTGACAATTTTAATTTGAAGTTCTCTGCTCTGAAATACTGTCTCCTACTGAAACAATATTTGTTCTAATCTCCAACAACCCAAATGCTAAAGTCTTTTGGGCATTTATCATTTTTAATAACCGTGGCAAATGCCAAATTTTGTCCTTTTGAAGATAAAATGCTATACTCAAAAAGTCACAGGATTTGCATATGTAGCCAAGGCTGAGAAACAGGCCCTAAAGCTGCCCTTTGGTTTTATGAGTCTGACTGTGAGGAAGGTTTCCTCAGCTTCCCCTCTGCCAGTGTCATTACAGAGTGCAGCTCGGAGCTAAGCTCGCATGTCAGGTCTATTCAGGTGGCTCATTCTAGATGAGCTTCCTTGCTATCTCTGTACCAGGCGTGACAGAGTATCATTAATAAAAATGTATTGATCTGTGAATCTATTCCTGGCTATAAAAAAAGTTCTAATAAATGAGATGGCTATATGAGCAATAAATAATACGTAACAAGAGAAAAAAACTGTCAAGAAAACATGCCCCATGTTTTCTTAAATTCTTAAGAGGGATCAGAGTTTTAGAGCTAAAACAAACCTAGGCAAGCAGTGCAGTAGTTCCCTGGAAAAAGAGAGAAATAGATCCCAATACTACACAGCTCAGCAGGGACCTGGGACCAGACCAGAGGTCTCTGGTCCTCTGGTATAGGTTCTTATATCCAAGGCATTCAAAAGCTCTCCCTGAAGGCTGGCTGCAAAGTGCTTCTGTTCTTGCTATCCTTTCCTATGAACATCTTAAAAGACTCAAATTCCAGTTTGAAGAGGTCTTTTTCCCTTTTAGGTATTCGTGAATTATTAAATGATGAATATAATTACCTAGTAAAAGGTCATCTTCGATCTGTCTGGCTGCCAACAAAAGACAATTCCATGTGCAGCCAGTGCGCTGGACAAGCTAGTTTATGGGTCTGATGCCTTGCATGGAATGTTACAAATCCCTATGTTGTCCTTAAGATCCTTCTTCAATTGAACCGAAAGACGCCTAAAAGCCCTACTCAGGTTGATGACTCCCCACCGGTGGGCTAGCCATTGGAGAATGCTCCCGGGTGCAGCTGAGGCTGGCAGTAACCATGGCTGTTTTCTTGAGCACAGGCAGCATCTGACAGTAGCCCAAGTCAAATTTATAGACACGGTTAAGGCTGCCGGATTCACCTCTCTTTGCAGTGTGGACAGATTCTACATACTTCTGACTGCTTAGAAAGTAAGTCAAGACAACAGCATATGAGGTGAGAACAGCCATGGAGGAGGCCTGTCTGGAGTGTGTTCACTCCCGTCTATGTTGGCTTATATGGTATCACAGTGGTAGGACAGAGTGCCCCCACAAACAACCCTTTAGAGTCCCTTAGTGAGTAATCCATGCTACCCCAGGACACTTACCTTACTGTACACGCAAATCGATGACTACACACCTTTCACGGTAAAAACTTTGTTCAGTTTTTACAAAGATCAAAGTTTACAAAAAACTTGTGAACGCTCTGAATTCTGTGACTCAGGGGACGGGGGAGTTTTGCATAATGAACTATTTATCTTTAATAAAATAAACTTGGCACTAAGCAAAAGTCTTTAAGAAAAATGGTCTGTGCAGTTGGCTTACTTAACATAAACACAACATAGTTTCTACTCATTCATATTCCAACACTCACCTAAGCTCTACGTTGATGCTCAAGGGTGCTCAAAGCTGAGAGGACAGTCTGTTCCTTCAAGGAGCTCCCACCGCAGTATGAAAGGCAACCAAGGAAGCAACCTAACAGTAGCTCCCCTGACACAGAGGTTAACAAGAAGCTATGCTGGGGAAATGATGGCCTGGAAGCTATTTAAAAGTACTGGCATGTGAGCCGGTCAGCCAGGAGGGGAGGGAGGGACACTGGAGAGGCGGAGTGGGGGGGATGGCATGTGTGAAGGCACTAACTACTAACTAAAGTGTGAGAAGCACGGAAGACTTGGGAAACGGCAAGGATTAATGGAGGCAATGAGGGAAGAGGAAACCGGAAGCTAGAAGGAGGAACCTGAGAGCCATACGGAGGAAACCGGAAGTCAGAGAGCACAAGGGACTGGGACACCACAGGAGCTCTGCCGGCAGTATCCCACTTGACCTGCACTAGACTCCCATCTCTCTTGAAACAGTGTGAAGAAGGAACTGAAGAAGAACCATGCCAGCGGCCAAGAAGCAGCTGGGACTCTAGAGGCAGATTAGCCTTTAGTGGCTTCAGGGAAAGAGATTATTGGACTTAAGGGACTTTAGCAGAGGGTGAGAGTGTTCCAAACCAAGACTGTCGCGGTGGCTGGCTAAGCCAGACTTTACTAAAAGGCACTTTTAGAAAAAGTGTGCAAAAGGAGAGCTTTTTGTTTTATGAAAATTCTATAACGGTAAAAGTGGTTTTAAAAAAACCAAGAGCAATTATGAAGACACTGGGGTCTACTAAGAGTCTGTCTGCATCGGGCACCAGGGATTTAGAATCAGCCATAGGATTCACAGGAGTGAGGAGTTCTGAGATCTGGATGGAACAAGGCCCAGAAGAACCAGGTCTGTTAGGAAAGGTGGCCTATCTAGGCTTTGATATGTGACCTGAGACCTTGTGGCCCCGAGAGTAAGGCTCTCTGAATTCTGCATTATGGATGTTTTGGGTACTGTCCTGTATTGCAGGATGCTAACCAGCTTCTTTGGACTCTGTCCACTAAATTCTAGGAGTGAGACAACCAAACGCATCTCCGGATATTACCTTCTGAGGTTTGTCCTGCTTGAGAACCAGTTATCAAACCCACACCCTCATACACACATCACTGTCTTAGTCCTAACTCCCCAGTTCCCTCCTCAATCCTTGACAGCCACTAATCTACTGCAGATCTCTATGGACTTGCTTTTCTGACACTTCATGTTTGTGCCATCACATGGAACGTGGTCCTTTCTTTGCACTTTGCACCTCGCCCACTGTCAAGGCTTGTCGTGCCGTGTGGCATGTTTGAGCACTCTGCTCCTTTTCAGTGGAGCACACAGTCTCATGTGCTAAGACCAGTGTGCTTAATCCGCTCACTTCCACGATTCTTCAGAACATCACTAATGACCTCTAGTGTGCCCAATCCACAGGATTAACTTCCAGCCCCTGTACCACTCACTCCACTGTCAGTAACTTTCTAAACTGTTACCTCAAAACAAATTTCATGAAACTCCCAGGCCTTGCTCACCAATCGAGGGGTTTCCACAGCTCTGCTACTGTGGACACGCTGCCAGGAGCGGCACTGTGAGGCTGGTATGTGCTCACGGATTTCCATCCGGGAGCACTGAGACTAGAACAGGGCTGAGGTGCTGACTCTGAGCAGAAAGAACTTCAGAGGAATTTCTGAGAACTGTTTTGTAAAGCGTTGGTTCCACCCGAACTCCCAACTGCGTGCGGGGACACTCCCAACTGCGTGAGGGGTTTGAGTTTTCATGGTCACCACAAGCTCACCTTCACTCTTGCCACTGTCCTTAATTTTTTTCCTTTCAATTAAGCATTTGTATTTGGTTACACCAGGTATGACAGCTTCCGAGTTGCCCAAGCTCATACTAGATGAAATCCATCCTGGATTAACATTTTATCATGCATGTTAAAAACCATGTTACTAAAATTCCACTCCATGCTCCATGTAAGCCACTGGCAGACTGTCCTCCCAGCTGCTTGAGTCACTTAGCCATGTCTTCTCTCCGATCACCTCTTTCTCCCACTCCAACTATATCTGCAATCTTAGAAATATATCTTGTCTTTCCCATCTTGACACTGAGTAAACTTTCTACTCCAAATTCCCTGCCAGGTCCATCCTGTCTCTTCTACAGCAAACCACTGGAGGGTTGTGAAATGAGAAATGTGCTCACCACTGAGGCAAGTTACAGTTGATGGTGAATCCTACCTACCACCTAACATTCAGGCGCACAGCCACCGAGTCTTCAGAAGAGCAAGCTGCCGGCCTGATGATGGCTGGCTCTAAGCTCTGCGCCCTTTGACCTCCCCTCCTTTGTTCTTTTCACCTTTCCCCCATTAGCTTGTAAAAAAAAAAAAAAACCCAAACAAACAAACTTAAAGAGAGACAAAACAAAAAGCTCCAAAAAATGTTATCAGGATAGAAATTTATTTAAATCCAAAATAATATGACTATAGTTAGAATAATGTAATAATTATCTAAAGGAAATATCATTGGCTCTGAAACAGTCTTAAAGGTGTCAATTTTCTGGAGTCAAAAATATGTAGTAAGAATATACAGGAAGCAAAAATACAGAAGCAAGCTGGCTGAGTGTGGAAGCTGTAACAGGCGGGTACACTAAGATACTGTAACAATCCAAACAGGAAGACAAGTGTCAACAGGCTGTCTTACCCCTCAGCCCCTGGACAGTTAGTCAGTAACCCAGAATGAAGGAATAATAGCACGTGGTTAACAGGACAAATTTCCCTGTAATTTGTCTTTGTAACCGGTTTCTTTCCTTTTTACCATGGATTCCATCTTGTTGACACATTTGGTTTTCTTTGCAAAGTGGAGTAAATAAAATATCCTGATCAGAATGCTCAATTCTGTTGAAGGTGCTCAAGGTTTTAAAAAGGTCAACTGGGCTAGTTAGTGGAAACCACTGGGTGTGTTTGCTAAACAGATGGAAGCAGCAGCATTTAAAGTGGATACAAATTCCCAGGGATTGCTGTAATGTAGACAATCAAAAGCAGACAGACGACCTTTGATTAAACCCGTTACTTCTAGAGTGAGCTAGAAGGAAGCTCAGGACAGAGTTTGGTTCCTAACAGTGTCCATGTCCACAGGGCACAGTCAGAAGGGCTCCTCCTCCCGTAGATACTGGAACACAGATGAGAAGTCTTTCTTTGAGTAGCCTTTTGAACACATCATCCTGTATATCTGATGGGCTACGCTTCCTAGGAGAATTGGGGTCTTGGTGCTGGTAGCAGAGTCTTGAGCCAATCCCAGATCCTAAGTTAAAGGCAGAAGGAAGCACACTGAGAATTGTGGAAGACTCATTTTGGAACTGGTCTAGGCTAAAGGGAGAAGAGGGTAGAGGAAGAAAAATAGAATCTGGAAAAAAAAGATTTTTACATACATGTGTGTGTGTATGTTTTCTGTCCTTTGATGCTGAATATCAAACCAAGTACTTTGTACAACAGTAGGCAAGCACACTCCACTAAGCCACACGCTCACTGCATGCCTGTGCAAGCATGTTCCTGCTGAGCTGCAGGCTCATACTGAGCCGCATGCCCAACCCCTATAGCAAGCACTTTTACCTTCACACAGCTGGAACAGTGCTATAAACAGAATTCTTGATTTCTCAATGTCCGCACTCCTGTTTCTCCAGGAGACATGTTTATTTTATTTTGTTTTTAGATAGAATTACTGTGCAGGAAAAATTACATAAAGATGTTTTTCAAGCCAGGTGTGGTGGCACATGCCTTTAATCCCAGCATTTGAGACACAGAGGCAGAAGGATGTCTGAGTTCAAGGCCAGCTGGGACAGCCAGGCCTATACAGAGAAACCCTGCCACAAAACCAAAAACAAAAAATTAAAAAACAAAAAAAAAATCTCATAAAAATCAATCAACCAAACAAAAGAGAAATGTTTTTCAAATCTGTGGAAATCTGTATGACTGGTATAGAAACATAGAGATAGTCCCAAATAGTACTCTACACAATATACACCGTGATAAATATGACAGCTGCAGCCTGCAGAGACTCAGTCTACTGAAGAGAGACACTCAGGAGGGGCTAGTATAATCTGGGAGCAACAATGCCAGGATGGGAGACCAGGAGGCATGGTCCATGGTGCTGGGTAAAGCCTTCCGGTCAAAAAGATGACTGAGCACAGAGCAGAAAGATGATATGTTAGGCAAAAGCACTGGGGTTGGGGGATAGCAGCAAGGAAGAGTAATCCTGATGGAGGGAAGCGTGAGTGGAGAGGCAGGGGGAAGGGAGGAAGGACAGCGAACTCAGCATGGCGACAGCAGAGAGGAGCAGGGAAGGGAAGGGAAGCCAAGGCCACATTATCAAGGCCTTGTTAGACAGGCTGCAGAGATAGACATTAACCTACAAGTACCTGTGAGCTGTTAGGGAAGGGACCAGGAGAAGTGACACACTGTAGCCTACTCTCATTACCATGTGGAAGCCACTGGGAGCCAACAGGAGGATCAGCTGGGCAAGTCTTGTGGCGTAGGGAAAGGAGGCCCTGGCTGCCATGGGAGTGGAGGAGGAAAAGGAGGCATCTGAAGGAATTCAAGAGAGACTTGGGAAGTAGAGGGGACAAATGTCACGGGGAACGCAGCATCTGGGTAAATGTGTCACTACATCTGTAATGGAGCTTGGTGGCGAGCTCTAGGAGACGGAAAGACCTGCCGGCCTACGTGTGTTCTACAGTCGAGATGGCAAACGACATGAGGGCAGTGAGCTGCCTTTTAAATGACTAATTTACACACAAAGCCCTTTGCACACTTAAGCAGGCAGACATATTTAAACCCAGGTATACTTAACACAAAGAGCATTAACAACTTGGAAATCCCACTGCTCCCATTCTAAGAAGTTGGTAAGTTAATGTAAGTTTATGATGAAGAGAAACATTTTATTAGCTTATTCTATAAATAAACCCAAACCTCAGAGGAAAAACTCAGCATATCCTTACCCAAAAATAAAATGACCAAGGTAAAGATTTTTTTTTTTAAATCAAAGACAAATTTACACTAATTTTTTAGTGGAAAACTGATGCACTGTTGTAAAAATTTTGTCTTATAGGAGCAAGCTCTGTCGGAAGTGTGTGTGTGTGTGTGTGTAAGAGAGAGAGAGAAAGAGAGAGAGAGAGAGAGAGAGAGAGAGAGAGAGAGAGGAGAGAGGGGAAAGATTAGACTATTCCACATTTCTTCTCTCCCTCGCAGCTAATCTCTGCATTTACCATACCTTAGCCATGAGTGTTGTTCCAAATCCACCTTGGTAGTTATTAGATGAGGGGACTCCAGCCATAACCCCAGGGACAGGGTTGTAAGTGTCGCTGGACCAGCATCGTCCTGAGCTCATATTCAGGATTTTAGCCAATAGTTTTGGGTCAAGGCCTGACCTGTCAAAGGTCAAAGAAAAATATTAAATGTCAGAATGTACAGGTCAAGTGTGACTCATTAACATGTGAGGGGATTCCACCTCTTTGCTCCTTCACTATAAATCTAAAATCCACAGAGAACTGGGAAGCAGAAGAGTCACTACAAGTCTAAGACCAGCTTGGGATAGAGAGGTGTCAGACCAACCTGGGCTACAGAGTAGGTGCCTACCTTAAAAATCTAAAAGGCCTGGAGTGGAGGTACCCGCCTTTGATGTCAGCTCTTTGGAGGCAGGCAGACCTCTGAGTTGAAGGCCAGTGTGGTCTACACAGTAAGTGCCAGGACAGCCAGGACTACAAAGAGATAAGTTCTCTCAACCTCGCCACACCCTCCCCAAAAACCAACACACCAAAACAAGAACCAAAAAACCCCAACAACCCACAAACAAACAAACAAACAAATCCATAAAATCAAAGCCAAGTGAAGAATCCAATTTTCAATTCTGTAGTACTAAGAGCTGCTGACTAACACGGGCGTCCCTGAGAAGACCTGCACTGTCCACTTTAGAGGAGAAAACATACAGCCTCATCGCAGTGCACATGGCTTCTCACAGTCAAGGGTTCCGTTGTTTCTCAGATATTACTGCTTTGTCACTTATGAACTTTAAATCAACCTGATAATCTAAATTCTACTCTCACATACAAATGATCTATTTCAGAAAGAAATACGACAACTCCGAAAAGTCGCGGGAGTCTGGTGGAAGCACTTGAATGTATGGTTTTTCCTTTAGTTTTTATGAGAGTAAATGCAAGAGATGAACGGTGAGCTGTAAAATCTGCTTAGGAGAAGTTATCATTACAAAGGACAGTATTTCCTGCGCAGCCTTCCTTATTTATTAAGCCTTCATTAGATAATCTTGCTTATGAAGCAAGTCTGCCCAGAGTGGTGACATATGCTATCTATTCAGAGACATGCGCTGTAGTTCTGGGTCACCTGCTGATAAGGTTACTGATCCTGATAAAACAAAGCTTGCCCGAGCGGAAACATCATTTGTTCTCTCCCGGGGCTGACGGCATAAACGGCTGCTCAAGGCAAGCCTAGGAACAGAGCAGAGCACTCATCAGCATGAGCCTGAGGATCTTAACACAGTTTGGGAAGCCCAGTTTTATTAACTATCACTGAATCACATTTCAAATAAAATCTTATACTCAGCAATTTATTGGTTTCTTTTATGCAAAGGGCTATTATAAAACAACTGTCATAAAAGGTTCCTACTTTGTCTTAAGATCAATCTCTTCTAGGAAAAAGATTAGAAGAAACACTTAAATAAATGTTAAACAAACCACACCCCAGCATTTATTACTGTATAGTCTACTTGCTGCAAAACCTGAACACCCAAACACCAAAGTGTTTTTCCTATGCTAAAGGAGGGAATAAAGGCGACAGCCAAGATGTGCATGGAACCAGTGTAATACAATGGATGCAGCCAGGCTTCTGAGGCGGTAGTAATAAATGGCACACAACGTGCTATACAGCTGAGTTTGTACGGTGGCTCATGTTATGAGGATGGCTCTTTTATTAAACAGCCTATCAAACATATAGATTCCATCTAAACCGGCTCTCACACATCCTGTCCAGTAATAGACAGAAGCCCAACTATTTGGGTCTTTTCAAAATATCTGAGTTTGGCAGAGTACGTAGTGTATGCCTAATCTTAGCAAGTAGGAGGCAGAAGCAGGAAGCTTAGGAGTTCTAGGCCAGCTTGGGCTACATAGTTCTAGGCCAATCTCAGCTATATTAGGCAGATACTTTTAAAAAGCCAAAGGGGAAGAAAAAGATCCAAGTTTGCTGTGTGTATAGTTGCAACAAACACTTTGTTTTTCAGTGTAAATAAAAGCAAGCTATCAGTACAACAGTGAGACACATGACTTGGGAAAAGAGAGAGATACTGTCCTTAAACATGCATCCATAAAGAACACATTTTCAAAGGCATCAAACAATTTAGGAGCGTCCTACCATCTTAGATTCAAGGATTTCATCACATTTAAAGCAGCAGCCTTATTCCTCTCTTAAGAACCTTCCAGGTTCTGATGGCTAGTGCTTCTCACGAATCTTGACTGCAAAGGAGCCTCACACTTGTAGCATTCGCCTGAATGGTGAGTTAAGCCTATTTCCCTAACTTTCTAACACCGTCTGCTCTCCCTGAGGAGAACTACCCAGAAAAGACCCTGGCACTGACGCACAGAGGCCTGCTTCGCTGAACATGTCACTGACTAGAGGCATCTGAAGGGCACATGAACACAGATAAAGTCAGGTGGTAGCTGTTTCTCTGCTCACTTTCCAAACCAAAATGCTCCCTGCCGTGCAGATTCCCTTCAGGAGCCTGCTGCTCCCTCCCTGCCCCCCTCTGCAGCAAAGTGTATCATTAAAAAGAGCAAGTGAGGAGTGTTTTGCATTTCCTCCTTCTGAGGCTTCTTCGGCTGGCACATACAGAACTGACAGTTAGAATTAGACAGGATATTAAAATCAGTTACTGAAGTCCTCTGCCTTCCTCTGTGCCCAAGGCTTGTAATGGTCTGAAACCAGCTAGAATACACAGTAATTGTCATTCAGAGAGTCTACCCTAGAACGTCATGCTTCACTGGAGAAGACTGAGTTTCCATTTGAAATCAACAAATTAATCCAAGACAGGTATCTGAAAGGGCAAGTTTAATAGGAAGCAGCTACTGGGCTCTCAACCATGATAAAATGTTATTGCTGCTTCCCTGTAAATTGGCTGGGAACATATGATACTTCTGCATAAGAGCCCCATTGCTGCTCAGGAGATATACAGCTCAAGCCATCAAAAGGATGACAGTCTGTCAGTCCCCATAATAACTTGCCACTGGACGTGGTTCGAGAGTGTGTGCATGCATGCTCGGGGCTTTACAATTGCTGAGATGTTCTCTGATACAAACAGAATGAATTCATTGCTCTGACTGCATATATAATGCAACTCAAATAAACGTCACTATGTCAAATCCACTCACCTCTAAAACACAAGAACATTAAATGAACTTTTGGGAGAAGTGAAAAATGGTGCATCACAAATTGTTAAAAAAAAATGAAAAGCACAAAAACCCTTTGCCTTCACCATAACCAAAATTTTAGGGGACAGAAGTTTGTTCACTCTCTACTTTTTACGTATCTGCACAGGTGTCTGGTAAGAACAACTAGGTGTTGGTATAACAGACCTGGAAAGAAAACATCTAAAACTATGTCCATTTTTATCAGTCACTCATGCTTGCTGAGACAGTGTCAGTTCCAGGCAGGAACCAATGAGACAACAAAGAAGCTGAGCACGGGCAGGTAAGGGGAGATCCACACCCAGGGACCACACTAGCACAGTAGAGGTGCCACACCCTAGCCTCTTCCCCACCCCCTGCCCCCTCTCCTCTTCCTTCATCTATGTTCTTAAGAGTTGGCCATGCATAAAACAGGCAGTAACTGACACACACACACACACAGACACAGACAGACACACACACACACAGACACACACACACACACACACACACACACACACACACATGCATGGTCAGCTAGTGAGATAGGTTATTAGGTAAAACTATCCAAGTAAAGTCAATCCAAATCCTCACCACATAACCACAGCCTCAGATATTATTATGTACTATATGCCAGGAACTACTTTTAAAAAGCAGCAAGAATGAACTCAACCATCACAACAACCTCGTGGAGGCTGATACTATTATCACTTTATAAATGAGAGGGGTAGATAGCCGAGCACAGCGGGATGCAAGTCAGACAGATCTCACCAGCCTGAGACTCACTGTGTAACTGTGGGTGTGACATGGCAGTCAGCAAATGTGTGGCATTTTATCAATTAAGAAAGCCTATCATCATTTTGATTATCAACATCCTGTAATTGTTCTGTTGTCTAAGATATAAAACTTAGAGTTCTGCCAGGGGTTGGTAGTGCACACTCTTGATCTTAGTGCTGGGGAGGCAGAGGCAAGCGAGCTCTGAGTCAGCCTGGTCTTTGAGAAACCCTGTTCTGAAAGACAAACAAACAAACAAACAAACAAACGAATGAGCTTTAACTTCTAGGTCCATTAACCAGGAAGAGGCAACGGTGAACTCTCCGAGAACACTCTTCGTCAAGTCTTTCAACTGTCGGACAGAAGCAGCAGTGTTGGCAGTCACCTTTGGTGTAAGACAACATGGCAGCTCAGGAGGGGCCTGGGCTCCACTGACCATGTGACCCACTTGTTATATCACCAGCGTTTCTTAAGAATCAACTCCCAATGGAGTGAAATTAAAAATGAAACAAAACACATACTGACAATGTTGTTTGTATGTGATCACGGACACACATCCTCGCTCATGCAAGCAGGTGCTTTCAAGGCTATAAAACTACTTCAGAGTCCTAACTAGGAATCCAATTAGAAAGGAAAAAGATCTAATAAAAAGAAATCTCGAAGTATATTATGTACCAATATTTTTTGCACTTTTTTTTACAACATTTTAAAAATTTCACTAACATCCATAAAGGCTCACTGTAAAAGAGAAAGGGTCAATACAAATTTTAAACTATTTTATCCTTCTATTAAAGAGAAACCATATTCTAGAAACAAAAAAAATTGCTTATGAGAATGAAATTAATCAGAAATGATCACTTCACTGGAACAGGCGACTCAATTTGTAAATGTTGACATTAATCCTCTAGAAAATTCCACTTGTGGGCGACCAGAATATAAATGCTTCTGAACCACTTCATGCTGGACTGCTCGGTGGGAATTTACTATGTGGGAATTTATGCTTGCTGATGCCAATTTTCTCTTTCACCTTGCAAAGCTCGATAAATCGTGGGCACTCTCTCCATTCTATTAGAGAACAATCCTGTCATTTTAAACCATGTCTGTAAACCATGACGGAAGGACAGCAGCAAACACACACAGGTTTCAGAGCATCAAGACTCCTGTGAGGCTATGTGGGAAACCGCGAGTGATGAGAACAGCTTCGTTCCACGTGAGACATTAAAAGGTGTATATCATCCTAACAGCCAAGGGAAACAAGCAAGCTCTGCCTGGCTTTCAAACTTTATAATGCACGTTTTATTTATACTTGTAGTTTTCTCTTCTCTCCATATACTGCATCATATATATATTATACATATTATATGTATATGTGTGTGTGTGTGTACTTAGAGTTTTAGAAAAACTAAAAATTTAAAATTTTCATATTTTTCAGAGCCTAGAGTGCTAGGTTCTATTATACTATGGAAACACAGAAAAACTTTCTATTTTCAATACTGTTTTTTCCATACTGGATCATGGCCAAAATAAGATAAACTATTTACTGCTATCAATGTCCTCATGTGGATTTTATGCCACTTTTAATATTCTTCTGAGAACCAATGACTTTTAGCTCATTACACACTTTGTTCAGTTGATATTCCTATTGTCCTTTATTAGCTGGCATCTGGTAAATTTCTACAAGCACTCATGTGCACATGTGTGTACACGCGCCATGGCAAGTGTGTGATCAGAGGACATCTTGTGGGAATCAGTGCTAGCCACCATCTGGATCCCAGGGATCAGACTTAGGTTTTCAGGCCTGGCAGCACATGCTTCTACTCTTTCCTGTTAAGCCATCTTCCTAGCCTCAAAGCCTCATTTTATCTATTTGTCTGAAACTCACTGTATAGACCAGGTTGGCCTCAAACACATAGAGAAGTCTGCCTACCTCTGCCTCCCAAGGTCTGGGATTAAAGGTGTGTACATCTAACCACATCTAACCCAAAGCTTTGTTTTAGAAGAGGAAATAATTATTGCATCAGAGGTTTGACAGGAAAATTCTTCAAGAACTATCGGAAGACACATGATTGTGCCTACATAGGACTGTGCCAGTGCTGGGTTGGGTGAGGAGTAAAGAACAAATTAGTGAGGACGGGGCATGCCATAAATCTAGGTGTGAAACTACATTCATACAGGCTCTTACTTTCATAGTCTAGTCCCTTATTCCAGAGAAATAAGAATAAAAACATACAGATTAATTTAGATGAATATCAATTCTGTTGTAAGCAACAATTAACTTTATACGCAACGTGAGTTTTGTTTTCCTCTTTCGTGAAGCTGGTCTAGAGAACGATGTGAAAATACATAAGGTTTTCATTATGACAACTACCCATAGTCTGAAACTGACTGCAGCACAAATATGAGGTCTGAAGGGCTCCCATGCACAACAGTTTTACTAAGGCTTTGTACAGACACGCCTCACCATCCTATAGACATTTGGTTCTAAAATGTAAATGGTATGGGATATTGATAAACCAATTAGCACTGATGCAAAGCAAATTCCTCTTTTATCTCAATTACAACACGACAACTTAATAGGTCAGGATAGTTTAACATCTGAGACGGGCAAGTCAATAAAACAACAGCATCTTGATATGGTAATTAAGAGGAAATGTGAATCCATTACCATGTTTTAAAAAATATCTCAAGCGCTTTGGCTCTTTTTATTGCTTTTATCAAAGGCTGTGGTCCAAGCCACTCTTCTACTTTGTGCTGTATCTGATAAGCAGCCAGGGATATGAAAAAAAAAAAAGCTATGAATAAAGCAACTTGCACACACTGAGCAGTTCTCTAAAATAAGAAATATGTATTTATTATATACATGAAATGTAGAACATTAAAAATACTAATTAGGTGATTAATCATATGTACATTACCAATCCAAAGGATTAAAGGCTAAAATTAAGGCATTAACCTTAAGCATTTTAGAGAATGATCACTGAAAAGAAAAACAGAATTTTGGACTCACTTTGAGTAAACAATGAATGAACATTGTATTTTTAAAAGATATATCCTAATCTAGAATAGCCAAGCAAGTTAAAACAAAAGTTATATACATGGAATGGAAGCCTGGTTGTTCTGACAACAGACAACCAAGAACCTTGCTAGTACAGATTCTGAGAAATACGTTTAAAACAGGCACTAGTTACATGGTAACATAGCACTTGAATCCATAACACATTTGAAGCATGTTTCATTCAAATCTGTCCTAACATTGCCAAAATATGTTTGAATTTTAGAGTTTTTCCATTTCAGTATAATAGAAGATATGGGGCTTCCATATAAAAAGCATAATATAACTTCAGTGCACAGTGTAATACATTTTATGGCTGTGACAAAGAGTGTTGATATTCTCTAGGGTCCTATTGCTTGTCCAATAAGCAAAGTCTATCAAAATTCAGTAATGAAGCACTTTCAAGATGCTCCTGAACCAACTCATTTACTCTCATGAACATCACCCTTTTAACATAAAAAAATCAAATAGGGAAGACAATGAAAATTGTTAGTCTATGAAAACGCTCTCTTCAACAAACCTGATTCCGAGGTTCATAGCTTCAGCGGTTCCAATCATACTTATAGCCAACAGCAAGTTGTTGCAGATCTTTGCAGACTGAAAACAGAGAGCATTAGTAAAGATCTTTATTTTCAAGTTACAACTTCGAAAAAAGTTTTCTTTACCTGATTCTACAGGGTTCTCTCTTAAACCAACCAACCAACCAGCCAACCAACCAACGTGCCAACCAACATTCAGCTGTGGATTCTCTTCAGGAGGTAAGGGAATGTGGTTCGGTATATTTCCCTCTGAGCCTAACACACTGTCCTCCGCAGAACCTAGAGTCTCTTCCACTTGGTAACAAATGACATGACTACTGTGGCTGTGGATGAACGATCCATATAGCACTGCTCACTAAGGAATGGATTTACATTCTAATTTGGATGTGGGAACGATATGCTGTATGAAAGGGAACAGATGAGCAAATGAGCAATCAACAGTAAAGTATGTGGTAGAGCAGACAGTAGGGTTCAGAGAGAATGGAGTGAGTGCGAGCCTGTGTTAGGAGTAGGGCAGGAAGAACCGAGTCAATCTCAGAGTTCAGTACTAGTCATCTCATCACTAAAACCAGGGAGGCACTGAGGAAGGGGAACCAGAAATCATCTCTCGGAAGGTTAGGACACAATGTAAATAGGCAAGAAAAAAGATGGACATCAGGATAAACGGTAACTGTGTAAGAGGGTTAGATACAGGGAAGCATGGACCGAGCCTGGGGCATGAGAGCATTACTCGTCTGTGCTCCAGGGAATGTGAGCAAAATTTGATAGTGAAGACTGTCAGGCGGGGGAGAAAAGTTCAAATTGGACACAGTAGAAAACAGGAATCTACTGGCCTTCTGATCAGCAAACTAGGTATAAGATAACAGAAGATTAGACCCAGGTAACCTGTGGAATGATTGAGACAACCAACAGTGGGACTGCTGAAGTAAAACTCATGCAACTTTGAGAATGGTAAATTCAGCCTAATAAAGACACCTAATATGAAAGTCTCCAGCCTAGTAACTGGGCAAAAGCATTACCAGGAAGAATGGAATGTGCGCATGCATTAGGCACTTAGTTCTATTTAGAGTTCAGTACTGAAAGCCATCTCATAGTTTTAAAGGAAATGATTTGTTATTCAAAAAGATTAAAGTGCACCGGTTACTTCTTTTCACTGTGTTGATATTTGCCCAGACCTAAGAACAATGATGAGGAAACAACTTATCCCAGTGTAAGGTAGAATCCAAGCACAGGCTCCTCAGCAAGAAGCAAGTGCTGAGGAGCAGGCACGGGGTCAGAAGACAGGACATTTTACATGGACTCGTGTTATCTGTATGGTGACATTACCTGCCCAGTCCCAACAGCTCCACAGTACACCACATTGGAGCCCATGCACCCCAGCAACTCTTGGGCAGCAGCGAATTCATCTTCAACTCCTCCCACCATAAATGTAAGGTTTCCAGACCGAGCAGCTCCTACACCTGGGTCATTTGGGGAAAAGAGATTGAAGCAAAACTGCTCAAGTAATATATCAAAATTAAGGACAAACCTAAAAGCCAAACTTAAATCCCTTGCCTCAAAAATGTATTTCTGCCAGGCATGTGTATGATTCTACAAATCTCCGTAGGAATGTTCCAGTAACCAAGTTTCATGGAGGTTAATCATAAACCCCAAGCCATCCATACACACTTAGTTTCCTGGGGCCCCAGCTAGCAGCACAGCATGCCGAGGAGCCTGCTCTCACGACAGCGTTTGAGGAACGTGGCTCACAAGCTCCTTCTGCACACGTCACCTCCTGACAAGATCTAGAGACTGACTCTTGGGCCACAAGCAGGCATCCGAGTAGCAAGGCTCTTTTCGAAGGGAGACGTGGTTGCTTATCTAGATTACTCTCACATACATTTTCCAGTACCTCTCATCAGTGAAACAACTTCTTAATTTAGGTTTGTCTTTCTTCATAGAGGGAGAAGGGCCACAACTTTTTAACTAAGTATGAAATACAGTTTAAAAGTTAATTTGTTTAATATTGAGATGTCTTTGTTCATAATTTTTAAGTTAGATTTTATTGTTCAAAAAAAGTAAGTGTATGGATAAGCTACATCAGCGCAGCTTCTGTGTTTTTGATTATTTTGTGGCTTGCTTACAACTAGAAACAGAAAACCGAAGCTGTACCACGATTAGACCCGGCCATTAGAACAGACAGCGACGAGTGAGGACCAGCTTTTCAGTTTAACTTACTTCATGAAATACAGTTTTTAAACATTAAAATTAAATTGTCAATACTTTGCTATTGGCAAATCAAGTACTTTCTCTTTCCTGGTTCATATTACTTCTACCCATCACTAAGAGCGAAAGTCAGTGTGATGTAAGCCAAACAATCTCACAATCCTTACATGAGGAAGCCTCCGATGCTCACAGGAAGTTGAATTACCTCATTTCATAACAGTAATAGATACACTTTGGAAAGGATTATGTACAAAAACCTAATTATTTTAACATTTTGATAACGACATTTGAGTGACTGTCATTTTGCTAGTTTCTAATTTACTTCACCAAGATGGAGAACCATTTATGTTTCAGAATGATTTTGCTCAATTCATTACCCGTTCTTATTCAAACCACATAACCACCCTGTCTCCTAATCCTGTTGATCTGACCTGCAGAAATTAAGTAGACAATTTAAGTCAAAGCTTACAAACAAATCGAGCGCTATCCATCATGGGTTCAGTAGCTCTGTACCTACATTACAGACGGCTAAATAGCTTCAGAGAGTCATTTATTGAAGGAAAATTAATGCTGACAATGGTTCTCAGCTGGTTAATCTTTTGACAGGTGCACTTTCTCACTTGTTCAAACACATATTTCAAAAAGAAGAAATAAGTTACTTAAGCAAGAAAAGCTCACAAGGAAGAATAATTTATCCTTGAGTCCAAGTCCTTGGCAGTTTCTCTGTCTGTCTGTCTGTCTGTCTGTCTCTCTCTGTCTCTCTTTCTGTCTCTCTCTGTCTCTGTCTCTCTCTCTCTGTCTCTCTCTGTCTCTGTCTCTCTCTCTGTCTCTCTCTCTCTCTCTGGCAGTGTTTTTATTTCTAACCTTATCACAACCTATGCTCCAATGTGGTGTCTGATTAAACTGAAGAATGCTGAAAGCTTTGGCAATTCTTGGGACCAAATCCTATCACCCCACACACTCCTTTAACACCATCAAGCCTACTTCCAGTGTGGGGCAGAACTAACACCTACCTAAGCAAGCCTAAAGGAAACGTCACCCCTATGCGTAGATAGACAGGACATCTGGAAAGTTGGGACTCCAAAACTTCAAAAGGCTTCTCCAGTCTTCTGAAGATACTAACAGGTCTTCATGGTCATTGTTACTAAGAACTAAGTGTATGGCCTTGACGGGTCACTTGAGTTCAAGTCCACTGTCTAAAATAGGTCGATGCAGAACTAATACAGGCTCAGGGAGCTAGCGTTAGGGAAATATTTGCACATTGACTTTTTGGATTTTGCTTTCTGAGATAGAGTTTCTCTGTGTGGCCATGGCTGTCTTGGAAATCTATAGAACAGGATGGTCTTGAATTCAGAGATTCACCCGCTTCTGCCTCCAGAGTGCTGGGCTCAAAGACATGCACAACCACTGCCTAGAGGTTGACCATTCCTAATTCAACAGTCTAAAATCAAATGTTTCTTTTAAATCCAACCCTTTTTGGGCACCAACATGAAACCACAGCAGAAAATCGAGCATCTATCCTTAAGTAATAGGATGCAGCCAAAATGCAAGCACACTAAAAATTCTATGTAAAGTAATCTTTATTTAGGCTACGCATGGGGTGGGGGACAGAAATGAGTCTTAAATGTGGGTTTCAATCTCAAGGTATTTCCATATGTGTGCATGTGTGTGTGTGTGTTCAAATATTCCAACATCTAAAGTCCTAAATCTGAAACACTGACCCTTACCACTTCACATCTTAAACCTGTATTTTAGTTTATAGCTTAATAATAGTATATATAAAACCAATGATATTGTTTTAGTTCTATTATAGCATTTACCATATATTATTAAAATCTTTGATTTTCTTTATCTGATTTTTCCTACAGGGTCAGCATGGGGTCTTGCTTATGTCAGTATTCCTATTATGTTGTATATTACATGATATATTCAACAGACGACTGTTTGGAAAATAAATCAATAATCATGGTTCAGAGAATAAAGGCTCTGGAGATGTAATAACTGGTTTTGAGAGTAATACTTGCTGGCTGTGTGATTATTAAGAAGTAGCTCCAAGACAGTGTATAAAATGGAAAAGGCATTAGTACTTCTTATACAGTAGCTGTAACTACCACTTAAACAGAAGGTCTTTATAATTTGAGTGTGTGATGCAGGAATTTTCCCTCTCTGGTTATCTAAGTCATTGTCTCTTTAGGTTAGTTTTAGCCTTGCTTGCTGACTATGAGCTGCTGTGGGCTGACCCCATAAACAAGAGAAGCAGGCTGGCCCAAGTTAAGAAGTTCTATAGAAGTACATGTTTGATCAGTGTTAAGAGCACAACACTGTAAGCTGGGTGTGTTGGCATATGCCTGCCATGTCACTTGAGAGGCTAAGGTAGCCAAATCATGAATTCGGACCAATTTAAGCAACAAAATGTGACCCTGTCTCAAAAAAAGTAAGAGTGGAGAGAGGGGAAAAAAAAATCACCATGAAGACCTCTTTGAAAATCAGTGACAGTCGAGTGTATCTTATAGGAAGAGATGGACAATCCCTATTTGCTTATCTCTCAACACAGGCTACTGAGTACCTGATAAGCATCGAGCGCCATAGTTAGCTGCAGGGTGAAGGCTTAACCACATGAATCCTTGCTTCTAAGAAGTTACGTACCTGTGACCAGGCCACTTTTTACTACAACTCTGGTCTGTGCACTTGATCTCCCTTCTGCCCTGGTCTCCAACATCTATTTTTGACACAACAGCCAGAAGAACTCTCCTAGAATATAAATCTAGCCCATGGTCTTTCTCTACTCTCAGCTATCCCAAAGCTTCCCATCATGCTCAGCATAAGATCCAAAGTCCTACAAAACCCTAAGGGGCCCTCTTTTAATAAAGCCACGGCTTCCTCTCCTGTCTTCTTCATACCCATCTTTCTGTCACTCCCCCTGCACAGGCACTCTTGCCTCTGGCTGTCCGTGAGACAAGTCAAGCATGACCTTATCTCATCTCAAAGCCTTGCACTTATTCCTTCAGTTCGACACACTCTTCTCCAAACTACTCATGACGAATTTTCCAATAACCATGAACCAGGCTCAACATGCACCTCGTCAGAGAAGCCAGACTTATCACTTGTTACCTTTCCTTCTTTGACTTTATATCACTCACTGCCCCTACTTATTTCAATACCTTTATTTCTGATACAATTCTCCATAGGAACATTACTTCTGGGGAGGTAGAAATAGCTGACTCATGAGGCACATACCCACAGAGCCTGGTACAAAAGAGATGTTCAGTAGATGACGGTTTACCCAAAGAAAGACAGAAAGAAAGGCTATGTCTTAAATGTGTACTCTAAAAAGTAAGTCATCCCCAAGACAACAGTGTTAAACAGTGAGACCCAATGAGCGGTAATTAGAACATGGTGGCTCCATCATGCATGGACTTCGAGGGCATGGGTATCGTATGAAAGGACAAGTGTGGCTTCTCTCACTCTCATCTCCTTCCTCCCTCAAATCCTGTTCCTCTACGTCATGATGGCTCTTGACAAATGACAGCCTTTTATTCTGGATTTTCCAACCTTCAGAACCATTAGAAATAAAATTCTGTCCCTTATAAGTTAACTAGGCTCTCCTTTTTTTCTTGGAGTGGTGCTTCTGGTGGTTGCTAGGCATCAACTCCAGGGCCTTGAGCATATTAAACGAGCACTCTACCAATTCTATATCCCTAGTTCCTAGTCTCTCAAGTACTGCTAAAGCATCACAGAGTGGACTAAGACAGGGAAAGGGAAGAAACGCTGAGATGCGGTACTGGGTGAGACCTGTTCTCACAGAAATACTCCATGATGCTAAGGGTTTACCAAGCTTTTCTGTCACTCTAGTAAGCCACTTAAATGCTGCCTGCTCTATCCACTTCCAATCTATGAGGGCAGTCAGACAACATGATTCTATGATCATTTGGGGTTTTCAAATTCACACGAATCCACATTCAAACATGTATGATGCTAACACACAAAACTGGGCTACACCTGACTCTATACAATAGTTCCCTATTAGAAAAAAGAAAAGTTAATAATCATAGATGGTATAGTATACTACTCACTATGTATTATGTAATACTTTAAGATATGCACACTTTGCAGAATGGCTTAAATCAAACTGTCTAGTGGGTGATTCTATGGATACCTTTAATCCCAGCACTTGGGAGGCAGAGGCAGGAGGATCTGAGTTCAGGCCAGCCTGGTCTACAGAGTGAGTTCCAGGATAACCAGAAGTACAGAGAGAGACCCTGTCTCAAAAATAAGCCCACACCTACCCTATATATTCTCCTTTATTGCTTCTTGGCCTTTTAGCTAAGAACAAGTGTAAAAAAAAAAAGGAGATAATTTTTTTTCTTACATATATATTAATTAAATCCAACAAGCCCAAACCCTTGTAGCTGCCTTTAAAGATTCTAGCCATTTTTTGTAATCATATCTTTAGAAATTCTCTTCCATAGTCCTAGAATAAAAACAATAAACTCAACTGTACAAACAAATGAAAACACAAATGCCCAAATCACTCAAAATAAAACACTAACACTGGGGTGTTTTGAATATGCTCGGCCCATGGGAAGTGCTACTATTAGGCAGCATGGCCTTGTTGGAGGAAATGCACGACTGTGGGGGTAGGCTTTGAGGGTCCCTAGTGCTCAAGCTCTACCCCCTTAGGGACACAGTCTTCTCCTGGCTGCCTTTGGACCAAGACATAGAACTCTTAGCTTTTTCTCCAGTACCATGTCTGCCTGCATGCTGCCATGCTTCCTGCCATGATGGTAATGGATTGAATCTCTGAAACTGTAAGCCAGCCCCAATCAAATGTTGTTTCCTTTATAAGATTTGTATTGGTCATGGTGTCTCAACATAGAAATAAACCCAAACTAAGACAAATACTCTGCTCTTAAAAGCCATAGGTATCTATCACGTTTTGGCAGTATAAAGAGAAACATTCTTATGCCTAATCAAACTCTAGGAATAGGAAGCCAGTCTTCCTATTTTAAAAACAGAGACTTACAGTTGACACACACACAAATCTCACAATTGGAGACCCATCATTCATTGGTTTTCAACCTGGTACTAAGAACCAGCTCTCACTACTCAAGGCATACAAGATGCACTGCTGCTGGGAGGATAAGGGTAAGAAAATCTACACAAGCCAATAGAAACCAGGTATACGCAAGCTAGAGAAGTACAAATGTTCACAAACCCTAAGAAGAAAGGTACCATCAGCAAGTTATCTGGTCAGTGCTTTAATTGCTAGGTTAAAAAGATTCAATGCGTAAATGTTTCCCAAATCAAAAATGAGATGTTTCCTGGCATTTGAGATATGAATATTCCAGGAAATCTAAAATGTAAAGTCATAGGAGACACAGAACTCTATCTTTATCCTCCGCTCCCCAAAGATACACCTGTACACCTAAAGCTCAGGGACCGTTTTGGGAAAGGAACAGAAGGATTCTAGGAGCCAGAAGAACAGGCAGTTTGCTGTGAGATTGTGTCTCCTAGGAGTATCAGAAGCTACAGCCCAAAAGTCTCACCAACACGATTGATTACCTAACCATGAGCTGAACTGGATGATACCAACAGCCATGCTAACATGGACAAGGGAAAGCTCAGGAGGCCAACCTTAAACAGAGAACAGTAGCTAGCTTAGGAATACTGAGCGGGAGAAAGTCTTCCCCAGGGAAGAGAACATCTGGTTATCCAATACCAAATGGCAAGCCCT